TTAACATTTATTTTAATGCAAAAAGTAATTAATTTCAATTTTTCCAAATAATTCTCAGTAAAAAAATTCGAAATGCTCTAATCTACCGGATTCGATGCAGCCTTAAAATTACTATGAACAACTTTCACCTAAAACTAGTTTTTGAACCGTTTTAATATTGGTTTTATTACGTCACTGTAACTATTGCCTTGAACGCGTATTTCCCATCTTACTGTCAACCAGTTATTACACATGGTGATTAGAGATTAGTTTTTAACTAAGTATTTAAATTTTAAAGTATCTGCCTTTTATATTGTGTAGTCCCTAAATATTATTATTTAAAAAAGTTTTCGAAGTGCTTTATAAAAAGTATAAACTGTCATTTGTTTATGAAATTTTAAAGGTTAATGAAACGATACCTAATTCTTGTATATATAATAATTAGGTTTTATTTTGGAAATATTAAAATATACCTACCGTAGAAACATTTTTACTCCACGTAAACAAAAAAGTATAAAACAATGCTGAGTACTTAAATGCGGTACTTTGGCATTCTCATAGCAATTTATCCCATTCTGTATTCTGTATTGTTAAAGTAAAAAGTGAAATCTGTTTAGTAGGTGCCGATTTAGATAACGGATCCCTAACTACCGTTCTGATGCAAGAAATCGAAGAAGAAACATCAACAATTGAAATAGAAACACTATTTCATCCTCCTTTCTGTTGCTGATTTGTACATCTAGGTTTTTTTTTAGATGAAGGGGAATAAAATTGTGATTTATTTCACTCATTACATTATAGAAGATCAAATGTATTTTTATTATTTTCGGTCTAATTACATCACTATAGAACTGCTAAAACTTTTATTGAGCGTTAATCAAATAAGAACGAAATAGTGATATTACACTTGAAAAGGAGAAAACAAGAACTCGAAAACAATTTATCTCTTATTATACGTATTATTTCAGCCTTGGGTCATTATATTATTATCGCTTAACTAGTGACATTTTCTGATTAATTCTGAACCTAAGACGATATTATTATAATGGTAAAATTCGAGTCCACTGAAATTTTATCAACAGTAATTTCTCTTTGTAACGAAATAATTTTGTTAATCAGTAATTTTACGAGAAAAACTGACATGAAAAAATCGAGACAGAAGGTCGAGCGATTTTGTCAAATCCCAGTCTTTCGAGCAAAATTACTGATTGGCAAACTTTTAAGTTAAAAAGAAAATTCATGAAATGAAAAGCTCGCGTGGTTTTTGGCAAGATAAATTAAAGATTAAATATGTGGATGAACGACAAAAAAATATATATTTAATATTTATTCTATGTGAACGAATAACAACCATTTACTCACACTTTCAACAATACTTAATAATTGAGGAGCTGGCGTGTAAAACCGGATAGGTGGGTATATAAACTTTTGAAAATTTCTCGGGAGAAAAAAATAACGTCTCACAAATTTACTTTAATACCAACTGATTGACGTAATTTTGTTTACTTTTTTTTAGTCGACAAATATGTAATGAACTGACAGGAAACATTTTAAACTGAGATGCGCCTACTAAGTATAGTTTAATTTAGAGGAACATGATGATCGGTGATAAAAAGCTATGCACCTGTTTATCGCTGTCAAAGTGACAGGAACGTAATTATTATACACACATTATTATAATATGGGAGTTAATTTATCGCTAATGTATCTGGAACATTGACATTTTATAATCATATTCAGCTTTTATTCTGGTCACGATTTAATAAAATTATGTGTAGTATTTGTTACCAAAAGGAGAAAAGTGAGATATTTTTAATTTAGTTTCTAATAGAGCAAGGAGATAATTTTAAATATATTTTTTTAAATTGGCGTTAGTTTTATGTAAACGGTAAATATTATCTATTATTATTAAAGAAATAACATAATTCTTTTGGCAATTACAGAAGTAATATAGAATAGAAAATATCTTCTATCTGACTCCCTTGCGTAGTTTTGTCTTCCCTTCTGTATATGTAAATATCAGGTTTGTGTGTTTTTAGATAAATTTCTCATTGATTTCTTGGATGAATAGTACAATTATGTAATATTCATTTTAAAATAATGTAAATATTAGGAACCATTAATTTTCATTTCAAGAAAAATTCTTAAGATTTCACTTTGAGATAGAAGAGTGAAATAAATATTGCATTTGGCCTGTAATTTTCATATCGCTTTTTCCTCTCTGGTATATCCAACTATTTGTTATCCCAACCCAATAAGTAGAATATAAAAAAGTCCTCCCTGAAATAAAATGGTGAAGATTATAGTCCCTAAAGTAACTTTCCAATCGATTCTAAAAAAATCACAGTAGGCTATGGATTCCAACTGGTTCATCGTACGACTCACATAAAATATTTTAAAGATATATTCTGGATAGTGGACCTCACAATTTGAAGACATGTTGCACAAAAGACGTTCACATTTCATCTAGAATATGACATTGCAATAAAGCGAGTGTAAATTTATTAACATATAGTCCAGTTGGTAGAGGTTCGGCGTGTGTCAAACCTTGATAACCCGGAAATAATTACACAGGTCTACTTTAAATGATGAGTACAATAACTGACTAATTTGCTGACAAAGTATTTTATCAGGAAAAAAAGTTATTAACAATTTAATCGTGAAAAAAATTTTTTTAGTAGTTTTTTTAAATAACTGAGCGGGATGATTTTGTACGAAAAAATGCTTAGGACATGATTTTGTTCGTAATAAAAATAGCTACAAAATGGCGGTGGTCCGATTACGAAATTTGCAATAACAA